ACACACACACACACACACACACACACACACACACACACACACACACACGATGAACTTTTCCTTTCCCTCTCACAGAATCTCCTACTCTGGGAGTTGGAAGGGCCCTCATGGACCAACAAGTTCAGTCTAGCCACGAAAAGGAGTCCCCGTGATACTAACAAATCTGACAAGCGGTCACTCATTACTGCCCTGAAGATGCCCGAGGAGCAGTGGCCTGCTACCTCCTGAGGCAGCCTCCAGGACAGCGTTCCTCAGGACATGGAGATGAAAAAAACTGGCCTCTTTACCAGCTTCCACCCACAGACACACTCTCTGCGTGGATCATGGGAGGAGGCAAAGCTTTCAGCCTAGTGCAAAGGTCTGGCTTTTAGCCCTAACTCCGCTGCGACCTGGCTGTGGGGCCACGGGTAGCACTATAACATCTGCAGGGCTGACAGGCCCCTCAGTGTTCATCTGTCTCAGCTTTTCACCAATGAAAACCCGAGGTCCTAAGAACGTACCTCTAGACCGGAAGGGACCGGGGAGGCCAGCCTGGCCAAATGCTTCATTGTGAGAGGCCTGGGTTCCCAGGGAGGTTGGGTGTCTCACCTTCAGTCACACAGACTTGGTTGCAGAAGTCGATCTGTCCCCAAGGCCTCCGATATCAGAGCCAGCACCTTCTCCTAGGACACTAAGCCCCCACTGACTTGCTTCTGCCCTGCTCCCATCATAGCAAACAGCCTGGATTTGTGCACGGAGCCCCGGCTCCACCTCAGGCAGCTTTTTCCTCCCCAGGCTAATAGAGGTTCCAAGATTTACAAAGCGATTTTACTCAACCTTCAATTTGGGGTGGGTTAGGGGAGACTGCCTCCTGTTTTGGGGTTTTGTTCACCCTTTTTAAAAAAATAAGGCAAATATAGACCTGCACACAGTAATACAGTCACATGAAAAGGCCGGAGAGAAGGCACATTCCCAACTCGCCTGCTCTCCAATGCCCAGAGGGACTCCGGAAGGCATGTTTGGTTTGGGAGGGGAGCCGAACATTCCAGCCCCGCTCCAAAGCAAGTGCAAGAAAAAAAATCCAGTGTAAATGGGGTTTCATTTATTTATGGGCCTGGCCCCACGATGCCTTTCATATTTTCTTAGATACTGACGCTGTAGCCCAGACATCTGACTGCATGGCCCTGAATCAATGGAGCATTGTGTTAGAGGCTCAGGCGTGCTTATTAGAGGGGGGCTGGACCTTTTTATAGGGCCGAGCTACAACAACACACAACGCTCAAGGAGCAGAAGGGGGACGTTGGGCAAAGGTGCTCTCGGGAGCGGCCTGGCTGGACACGGCCCAGAAAAGGACCGGCCGAAGGGAAGGGCAGACAGCTGAAAGAGGGAGAAGTGGGACACGTCTGAGGGCCCTGCATGAGGGACAATTCTAGAACCTAGTGGCTGTCTGGCTGCTCCCCATTCAGGTCAGGGAGATGGCTGGAAGTCAGGAAGACCTGGGTTCCAATTCTTCTAGCTGTGTGATGAGGGGTTTTTCTCAGCCTCAGTTTCCTCCTCTGTAAAGACAGACCTATAATACTTACCTCACAAGTTTGTTGTGAGGATTAAATAGGCTAATGGAGGTAAACTTTAGAAAGCTCTGCATGAATGTCAATTGTTAATTTTTAGTCGAACATCAGCTTCTTGAGGGCAGGAATTCTACCATTTTGGTCTCTTATTACCGGCGCTTGGCAAATAAATATTTACCTGGTTGCCCCACCCCTACCCCAGCTGTTACTGCCTCTGGACTGGAAGGGACCTGAGAGGCCATCCTGGCCAAATTCTTCATTGTGAGAAGCCTAGGTCCTGGGGAGGTTGGCGGTCTCGCCTTCAGTCACACAGACTTGGTGCCAGGAGTAGATTTGGCCCCAAGGCCAAATGTTTATTATTTTGAACTAACCCTGCACATATTTGGCATTTATATATCCCATTGATTCCCCAGTCCCTCTTCCTTGCTACCCCAGAGGAGAAAGTAAGCTCCCTGAGGGCAGGGATTCCCCCTTCTCTGTTCCTAGGGTAATGCCCGGCACCTAGTAGGTACTTAATAAATGCTTGATGAATTGGACATTAAGCGCCTACTACGTGCAAAGTGTGGTGCTAGGTGCTGGCAAAGACACAAATTTACTTGAAACATAGCATGCCATCTAAATTGACTTGGTCCACAGGCCTCGCTGCAGAACATTACTGGTCAGGCATGCATAAATCAATACAATTATAGAGGATTCTAAATGGTTTCCGGAGGAGATCTCAGAGTCATTTAATGCCCTCATTTTACTGATAGGGAAACTGATGCCTAAAAGGTGAAATGACGTAGGATCATGGGTTTGAAACCAGAAGGGCCCTCACTGGCCATCTTGTCCTACACCCTCATTTTACAGATGGGGAACCGAGGCAGAGAGATGTTAAATGCCTTTTTCCAAGTCACACAGGTAAAAGTAGAACAGGCTCACCTCAACCTGAGGGTCTCTGATTTCAGATCCAGAATTTTTGTTTTGGTTTTTTTTCTTTTTTCTTTTTGTGACCTGCACTGTGCTAGGCACTGGGGATACAGAGATAACATTATTTCACAGGTCTAGAAAAGGCCTCGGAGCATTGGAAATGCCAAAGCTGAGGGAGTCTGGGCCTCCCTTCATTCCAGGAGGGGCTTCTGGCTGGCAAAGCACACCAAGAGGCAGCTGGGGCCTTGGGGAGCAACCTTAACCCAAAACAAGCCGCAAGAAAAAATGGCCCTATTTGTTCTACCTTCCTGGGCCAGAGAGAAGCAGAGGAACCGGGAATGTGAAGAAGGCAGAAACCCCCAAGAAATCAGCCACATTCATCCAGCATCTTTGGGGGGAGGGTGGGGACTGGTCCTCAATCCCCTCCCCCACTCCCCCATACCGGGGCCTCCCCCATTGACTAGTTCAGACACTCACATACCCTCCAAATGACTTTGAGACTCAGACACTACATCTTTGGCAGGAAATCTGGCATATTAGGCGTGAAGGAGATCACTTTCAATGAAAATAGCTTCAGTCACCCACCCCCACCAAAAAACGGAGTGGGGGAAGATACATAATCAAGGCACAAATTCATTAGGAGACTCAGGAGTGGCCCCAGTGAGGCTTATGTTCCACTGGGCTTTGTTTGGGGTGCAGGATGGCTTATTGCTGAAAGAAGGGGTTTCACCCGGGGTAAAAAGTAATTAACACACAGCAGAAAATACCTGTAAAGAGCCAGGTGAGCATTCCCCAGCTGCCTGAAAGATATTTAAGTGGAACAAAGTTGTGCATGGGAGTGGAGGAGGAAAGGGTGGGAGAGAAAGGGAGAGAGGGAGAGAGGGAGAGAAGAGGAGGGAGGGGGAGGGGGAGAAGGGGAGGGAAGGGATAGAAAGGGGAGGGGGGAGGGGATAGTAGGGGGAGGGGAAGAGATGGAGCAGAGTGGGGGTGAGGGGAGTGACAGAGAGACAGAACAGCTAAATCAAGACCCCAATGTTGAGGACACTGTAGGACAAAGAGAAGACCAAAAGGAATAAGCAAAAATTCTATCTGCTCGGGGCAGCTAGGTGGCGCAGTGGATAGAGCATGGGCTCTGAAATAAGGAGGACCTGAGTTCAAATCCAGCCTCATACTAAACACTGGACACTAGTTGTGTGACCCTGGGCAAGTCATTTAACCTCAATAGCCTTAAAAAGAAAATTCTATCTACCCAAACAGCCTGGGTCCAATCTTCCTTCTCCTAGCCTCATTTCCTTTGTTATGGCTTTTGCTCTTGGGTTAGGCCTCCTCAGGTCACCCACTTGTCCAGGTTTAGCTCTGGACATACTTTCTGCTCAGGTTCACCACCTAATCCAGCCTAGGTTTCTAGAGGAGGCAGAACTCCCCAAAGGCAATGTGAAGTGGTGCCCAGTGTTGAAGAGCAGCTTCCTGACCTGGACCAGTAAGTTCTGTCTGCCCCCACCCACACCTCCAATCACTTTAGGGCCCTAGAGGTTTTTCATCTTGGCTGATGTCCACGGAACAGCAGTAAAGACGAAGTGGGGTTTGGAATGAACCACAAATACACAGAAGTCCAGAGTCACCCACAAGTCCTGGGCTGGGCTATCTCTCACCCTCCCAGGTCAGAGACTCAGTTAATAAACTAGAGAATCCATCTCTCAGCTCCTTTCCCCAAGAGCATCCCTGAACTCTCTGGCTTCCTCAGACCCCCTTCAACTCTGTCTTCAGTCACAAAAGACAATCTAACCATTCATGGTAGAGCCAGGGCATCCTGGGCCAGGTTGTACCACCAGGTGCCCAGCCTTGCCCAGCCTCCTGTTCACCTTACTCCCAGAACAGCCTGAGGCAAGAGGGTCTTGGCAATACTCTCGGTGGGTTAACTTTCGGGCTACAATCAGCGGAAGGAGGTATGTCCCAGCTGCTTGAGGGAGCGGGCCCCTGAAAACTTCCTCCCCTCCCCCAAACTGGGCTGATGAATCTCTCCCACTTGCTCTGGGTATCATTTGCTCCCTTGAGTCTATGAAGTCCACAGCTATTTCCATGGGTGGGTTAGGGGTAAGCACCCAATCAGAGTAAGCACACACCAAATCGTTGCACAAATAACGAGCGGGGCCAGGTGGTCTGGCTGCCCTGGGCAGCCGGAAGGGTTGTGATGGAGAGAGGGAGAAGGCGGTCTTACCATAACGGCCTCCTGGGGGTACCGGTGGGGCCCGGTTGCTGGGGACTCCGCAGAGGCGCCACTGCCTGCAGCTCGGCTGTCCGTGATCCCGGGGGTCAGGGAGTAGAAGGGCGGGCTGGGGCTGGGGGGCAGCCCGGAGTCGGGACTGTCCAACAAGCCCTCCCGGCTCTTCTCTTTGAGGCTGTCCTCCATGCCCTGGAAGTGCAGGTGGCCCACCATGGCTGGGGGCAGGGGCACGATGGAGGCAGCAGGGGGCGCGGGGCCAAGGCGCGGGGAGCGGGGCCCCCTCTTCGCTGCGTCCTGCTCCACTTCTTCCTCGGGCTGTGGGAGCCAGAGCCGGGGCCTGACAAGGAGGAGGGGAGGCGCCGGCCGGCCGGCCTACCGGGGGCTGGGGCTGGGGCTGGGGCTTCGGCTTCGCGCCCGGGACTTGGGAGCCTGTGGGGAAAGCGGAGAGGGGGGCGCGTCAAGGGCAAGGGGGCGCTGGAGAGGAGAGGGGGGCCCTAGAGAAGGGGGGCCGGGGCAGGCGGACACTGGCCCAGCTCAGGCCGGGGCGGGCTAAAACCCGAGGACGCAGCGAGGCTCGGATGCCCGGCCCGGCCCTTCCCAGTCGGGGCAGGGGCACTGCGCCCGGCTGGACGCACGGTCCGCTGCCCGTGCCAGCAGCACCGCGCTCCAGCCAAGTGCCGCCGCCGCCGCGGTGTCTGCGTCTGCGAGGGGCCCCCGGGCTGCGCTCCTGGCTCCCGGCCCTTCCCGCCCCGCTCCCTCTGCTCCCAGGCCGCAGACCAGTGGGATCTGTGACCCCCCCCGGGCCCCGTCTGCCCCACCCGGAGTCCAGAAAGCCCATTACGTGAGCCCGGAGGCGAAGCGAGCGGGACGGGCCCGGCGCAGAGCAGGACCCGGCGGGACAAGACGGGGCAGGACACGGCAGGGCTGGCGGACAGCGCGGCTTGAGCTCCGGCCCGCGGGACTGCTTCCCGATCGGCCGGCCGGGAGCGCTCGGAGGCGGTGCGCTGCGCCTGGCCCCGGCTCGGGCTCCTGCTCGGGCTCCTGGTCCTTCTCCTGCTCCTGCCTGTATCCCTGCCTGGGCAGCAGCCGCCTCTGCCTCTGCCCCTGCCCCTGCCCCTGCCCCTGCCCCTGCCTCTGCCTCTGCCTCCGCTGGCCGCGCTCCAGCTGTGGCCGCCAGGGAGAGCTCCAAAGGCTGGCCCAGCCCGGCCCGGCCCCGCTCGGCAGGCTAGGCTCGGCCCCCTCCCCGCCTCCAGCCTCCCACCCCAACCATCTGAGCCTCACTCTGCCTCCGCCTCCGCCTCCGCCGCTGCCCCAGCGAGACAGAGACCAAACTGGCTGGCTGGCTGCCGCCGCGCCCCCTTTCTGCACCTTCCCTCCGGCCTTCTTCCCCTTTTCTAGCGGCCTCCTCCTCTTCCTCTCTCCTCCCTCCCTCCCTCCCTCCCGACGCGCGCACACACTCACACATTCACACACGTCCCGGGCAGGATTTCAAAGCTCCGATCCTGAAACCCCTCGGACAGGGGAATACGGGAATCGTCCTAGTGGCCACAAACGAGGAGCTGAGTGTAGCATCCAGGCCGTGATCTCCCCGCCACTGCCCCCAAAAGAGGGGAAACGAACGCCCCGCATCGCATCGCATCGCATCGCATCGCATCGCCTCGCATGCACAAACTACTGTCCAGTTATCCGAGCAGCCGAGGCCCAGGTGTGGTAGAACCCACCTAACATATACGTCATCTTCTGCGGGCAAGAGCTTCTCTCCTGTGGGAGATGGGCTGGTAGGGTGGAAAGAGAGAGAGGGGGCTTGCTGGACTTAGCGGATGCAAAGCAACAAGCATTTATTAAGCACCTACTGCATGCCGGGATACCAAGACAAAAAACGCAACCGTGCCAGCCCTGGAAGAGCTTACGTTCTGACAAGGGAGGAGGGTAGAAGGGAGTGTCTCCAACAGTGATACCGTTCATAACATAACAATACAGTCATGTATAACAAAGACCTGGGTTCTGGGTCCTCCTCAGCCTTGGTCCTGGAAATCTAACAGAGCAATGCAACAAGCAATTATTAAATACCCACTATATACCCCAGGTGCTGAGCTAGGCAATAGAGATACAAAAACAAAAGACTAAAGGCTGCCTCTTTGAGAAGCAAGAGTTCCAGGTTCGGTGGCAGAAGATCTGGGTTCTAATCCCGACTCTTCCACCTGCTACCTAGAAGAGGTTGGGCAAGTCACTTAACTCTTCTGGGCCTCAATTTCCTCATTTATAAAAATGAGAGAATTCGATTAGAACTTTTAGATGTCTTCTGCCTCTGGAAAACAACTTCCCATCTGTGTGACCATGAATACATCACTCCACCTCAGTTTTTACAGATGAGGCATCTGTAAAATGGGGGAGAAAGTACTTGCTCCTACTATCTATCTTAGGATCAAAGATTGGGACCCAGATGGCATCTTAGAGGTCATTTGGTCTAACTGTCCTCAGTAAGGAAAAAGGGAACAAACATTTATTTTTTTTTTATTTTTTAGCTTCCCTACATTTATTTTTTTATTTTAGACCTAAATACTAAAACTTAAATGTATAATAAGAAAATAAAAAGAAACATATTATAAACTTAAATATAAAATAAGAAGAGGAAAAAAGCACGTCAGGTGCACAGCAGAACGTAAGAGAGGATTCAAAATATATAGCAATAAATTTCCATTTCAAGACACCCGATATAATAAGTATTATGCATTGTGTTGAGAAGGAACAGATATTTATTAAGTGTTCACTGTGTGCCAGGGGCCCTCCAAATATTTTCTTATTTTATGAGAAAACACTTTCTTCACATTCTCATTTTCTTCACAACAAATCTGAAAGGAAGGTGCTATTATGATTCCTATTTTACAGCTGAGGACTCCGAGATAGGCTTGCACAGCTAGCAAGTGTGTGAGGCAAGATTTGAACTCAGGTCTTCATCATCCTAGCACTCTGTCCACTGTGCCACCCAGCAGCCAGCTACAGTTAGGGAAACTGAGTCCCAAAGAAGAGAAATGACATGTCCACATAAGCAATGTGTTGCAGAGTCAAGATTCTAACCCAGAGCCCCTGCCTCCAAACCTAGCATTCTTTCCCTCTGCAGCATCCTGGAACTTCACAAGGGGGTGCTTTGAGCAATGTTCTTTGAAAACTTTGAGTATTTTGCAGCAGTGAGAGGTATTATTTCTCTTCAATCATGCATCTAATTGCCTCAATTCTCCATGTCATCTTCCTTGCGGTGAATGCCTGGTTATGTCTGCAGGGTCAGAAGTCTCCTCTCCTCTCCTTTCCTTTCCTCCACAGACCAGATCTGGAGACAGATGAGCAGAGCAGAGCCAGTCAGACTCACCCCAAAGCTCTGACCCCTTTGTGAAATCCCTGAGTCTGGAGTCTGTCTGAACCAGGGAGAGCTTTCAGGTCCCCCACTCCACCCCACCTAGAAAACACCTCATGGATCCAGCTTGCAGTTTTGAAAGCAGGAAACAGGGAGATGTTTTGCTTAATGGTTAAAAAAGAACAGGAAGAGAGAAAAGAGTAGACTAAATATTGGGGCTGAGTGGGTAGGAGGCAAAGGGAAGCAATTCACTTTGAAGGAAGGAGGGTGAAAAATGAGGTGGCTCCAAAAAGGGGTTGGTCCATCCTGGTTACAGAGTGCTTTATTTTCTACAAGTGTCTTCCCAGAGGGCAGGTCTGGGACAGAATGAAAGGGTGGGGAGACCACAATTCTTCACTCATGAATGATTCTGGGACATCATATTATAGAAAGGCTATTCACAAGCTCCTTCCTTGACATATGCTAGCTATTCGATTGGGCAAATTCCTTAACCTCTCAGCTGGAGAATGGGTGCTAACCTGCACTGGTGGAGAGAATTTCCTCACTGGGAATTCCCTATACCATTGAAATCACAGTCCAGCCCAAAAAGGTAATTGACAAGCTAGAAGGCCATGGTATGTCCAAGGGTCTCATGCTTAGGATGGGTGAGGAAATGGCAAAGAAAGGGAGGTGAGAAGAAAAGAATCAGCGTGGATATAATCAATATCTTCGAGTATTTGAAGGGTCCTCTTGGAAAAGAGGGATTAGCTTTGTTATGTTTGGTTCCAGTGGACAGAACCAGGAAAATCAGGTGGAAATTGCAGGGAAGCAAATCTAGGTTGGATGTAAAGGAAATTTTCCTAACAATCAGAGTAATCCCTAAGGGAATTCGGGTGCCCTGGGAAGTAGCAGAGTAATCCCTTATCTGAATATTGTAAAGGAAAGGAAGGCTGTTAATAGGGCGCTGGACCTGGAGTCAGGGAGAACTGAGCTCAAATCCTGCTTTTGATACTTACTAACTTGTTGAGGCAAGCCCTTTCCCTTGTCTAAAACTCAGTTCTTCATCTGTAAAACAAGGGGTGACGGCCCAGACCTCTAAGCGGGCCTCTAAGCTCCCATCCCCTTCTCAGTCTTTGGGGTGACCCTCTCAATGTGATCGACTGATTTATACATGGTGGTGTTCCAATGCTAAAAAGGCACCTCTAGTCCTCCTCGCATTCAGGTACATATGGTAAAAGTGAAATGGTGGCCGGTACTCACTTCAGGAGCTGGGGAATTAAAAATCGGTCTGCATGACTCCAGGTGGCAAAAAATTGGGTCTTTATCGCCCAGAATGAAATGGAGATTTGGGTATGGATCTGGATCCGTTTGAGGGAAACCCCAAATAACACATCCTCAGCTTTTCCAGGAAAACCAGACCGTGAGAGGACAAAGTGGAATCATCACCCAGACTTTTGAAGCTGCCTCTCAGACCGTCAGGAATCACTTGGAAGGATCCTGGAGCTACAAGGGACCTTAGAACTCCTCTCCTAAAATGCCCCCATTTTTCCGATGCTGGGATTGAGTCCCAGAGAACTGAAGGGATTTCCCTAAAGTCGCATAGATATAATTAACTGTTTGGTTCGAAAGCGTTTATTAAGTGCCCCTCTCTAGGTCCAGGCGCTTGGCTGGGTACTGGGGACACAGAGACAAAAGGAAATAGTTCCTGCCCTCAAGGAGTTTATATTCCAATAGGGAGAGACAATTCTGTCCAAAGATTAGTAAATAGGGAATACATTATGAAGAGCAGTTAGGAAAGAAATGATCGCTGTCTTCAAATATCTGAAGGGCTCTTGAGCAGAAGAAGTAATTAGGCTTGTTCTAATCTGGAGGAGGGAGAGAGTGAGTAATACAACTGTGATGGGGGAA